AAGAAAAACAATCGACATTTTATTAATGCTATAGCCGTTGTAATAATTTTCACTAAAAAATTTTATCAATATGTAAGCTTCTGTCAAATAAGACTATTTAAGTGATATTGGTAACATAATCTAAGGCTTTAAAAATTAATCTCAATAAGTAAGATATAAATATCATTGAATTTATTGAAACTAAAATGCGGATTAATCTTTCTGGCATTAACATGCTAATAGTTTTTCGAAAAAAACTTTACAAATTTATATTAGATTATTATCCTTTCATATTGATAAACCGAAATTTCAATTTAATCTATTAAAATGACGAAGAGTAATAAAAGAATTCTATGAATTATATCCTTATCAGTCGGAATTCCTTACGTTCCTAAGCGTCATTTATCAATTGTAAAAAGTATTTGAACTTGGGTGGATACAAATTTGACGCGTTAAAGAGTGATGACGATAGGTTACCGTAAATGAAATTATTTATGTTCGCAAGCCCTCGTTAGAGCATAGATGAAATTGAAAATTTAACACTCCCTCACTTATATATCCTTCGATCATAATAATCATAATAATAAAACTAATACTACGAAATGGTAGTATGCATTTTACATTTGTTTTTTAATGTTATTTATCACTGCTAATATATTTTTCCATTAATGATAATCACGTTTAAAATTCATTGAGAAATTCTTTTAAATCGCTATGTAGGAGACTATTGTTATTAATGATATTGATAAAAAAAAAAAAAAAAAAAAAAAAAAAAAAAATTAGATTGTTTTGCCCTATAAGGTCAATAATAACTTTAAAAAGTATGATGTTAACACCGCAATCCTAAACGCAATCCTACAGATTAAAATTTATATTAGTATATTGCAGATCTCGATAAGCTTAATCTATCACATATTAAAATGGCATTACTGTATGAAAGAATAATAACTACTAATCAACAATACGAGTTAGTTGAAATAGGTATTGAAAATTTTTATTATAAAAAATTCAACTTAACCTATCATGAACATTCAATTGATTCATATAAAATAATTATTCGAATTCCTATTTTGGCCTTATTCTTTTTATCGCATGAACAATAGTTTGATTGGTTATGTATTTTCGGTAAGCTGACAATTTATTAAAAAATAACCTCGTTTAAAATATTATAATGTCAATTACTTCAATTAAATATTTGAAATTAATTAGAAAACAGATTGATAGAATTTTACTGATACACTGGCTCAACATGAAATATTTGACGTTTACAGTAATTTTGTAATAGCCTTTTACAAAAACTTAATTTCAATAATAATTTCAACTTTTAATGTTTCGATTAATCTTATTTTATTTTAACTTTTAATTGTACATTATTTATTAATAAAACCTTGCTTGTATACAAATCTAATGATAAGGCATTCAAGGCTAAGCAGCTAAATGAACGATTTCTTATTAAATAATGCCAAACCTAATACTTTATATATAGAAACGGAAATAAATAACAATAGAAAACGAAGATTTACGAATAAGATAAAATTTATATTGTTACATCATATTGTAAAAATGAAAAACCGTCGTATAAAAGTGTTGTGCCAATAAGAACAACATCGATAAAGAAAGTTTCTATGTACATATTGTGAAACTTGCTTTTTTCAATATATTACTCCTTGTACGCGGTTGACCACACTCCGATTTCTTTAACTTTATTGCTCTATGCAATCCTTCGGTTTTACCTGGCATATCATGATTTTTCTAGAAAAAAATTATTCTTATTTGTTATTGTCGATTTATTATAAAGAATCCGAGAGAATTTTGTTTAATGAATGGGCTGAAATTGTCTTTCTTTTATTATCGTTTTTTTTTTTTTTTTTTTTTTTTTTTTTTATATAAAATAAATTCTAGGTGATATTATAAGGCGATGATAATTGCTATTTTTTCCCATAATTTATAATGCAGTTTCAGTATTTGAACAATTGTGTCAGATGTTAGTGCTTATTATCCTCAAGGTTCCCTACGTTCCGAGATATTCTAACAAATTTTTAACAGCCAAAATTACACT